TCTCGAATAATCATTTCGGTATTTGGGAACGATTGAGGTAATTCCTCATAAGGCTAGCTAATGAGGAATTATTCTAGCTAATGAGTATTATTCTTTTGATTTCATATTTCTTCGTTATGAAATAAGTTTATTTAAAAATTAGGTTCAAAATTTATTATGTGCACATTAGACCCGTACAAACACGGATCGAGGTCTGAGGTCAATTTTCACTCATATATCTGAGTCTGCCCGCATAAACTTCGTAGTAAAAACAATATAATTAACATTGGGCTCCGTTATGGGGCATTTAACACCAACCTGGTGTTAAACACCGCCCCCCTTACCGCTAAACGGGTGTCACTGTTGTTGCGTTAAACGTTTAACGCGGAGGAAGGCGAGGGAAAGAGCTGTAATGCAGTTGGAAAACATTTATTTTTTTATTTTTAATACTATAAATACCCCTTATTCTTAACACAACAAACACACACAACCTATTCTCATTCTCTCTTCCTTCAAAATATATTTTATTTTTTAATTCTCTTAACAAAATATTCAAAAAATGAAGTCATCTTCATCTGAAGATGACAAGAGAGCTATCATTTTTCATTGTTTCGTGACGGGTTGTTATCAGTGGTGGCAACAAGCCCAACGAGAAAAAGCAGAATCCTCCCGACGCCGACACCTGACCCGACGTGAGGGTTTAAATCGTGATCGATCAGCTGCACACGCTTCGTTACTCAATGACTACTTCGTGCATTTACATACCGGAGGATTTTAATAATCGTTTTCAGATTTATGACGGTTGGATTAATGAGACTGCACTGGACTCGTCTTTTGAGCTTAGAGAGATGCTTTACAAGCGTCGATATTATCTTGCAGATGGAATATATCCAGATTATTTCACGATTGTCAAGTCCCTCTCCGAACCAAATGAGTCTTAAACGCCAAACCTACACTTCGAAGTGTTGAAGGGTAGGTGACACATTCTAAATCGTCCGTCCAAGTGTTATTCTCATACAAAAATGAGAAAAATCATTTAAGCATGGATTATTTTTCATAATATGATCATAGAATACAACGGGTTTGCAATGTGTCATTACAACCCGGACGAGGAAGTGCCTACGTACAAAGAAATCGGTGAAGAAAACAAACCAAGAAATCGCTAAGAAATCTGAAGACGAGAGACTCATAATGCACTAACATCGAATTTGATTGAAGATATTTTTAGTGGTATGAATAATCAATAATTTTTTGTAATATAATGTAATTGTTATTTTTTATTAATGTACCTTTTATTGAATGTAGTTTATTATTTAATGTACTTTTTTATTGAATGTATTTCTTTATTTAATGAATTATTTTCCTTTAAATTTAATTAAATAATAAAATATTATTAATTTAATTTTTGAAGACATGTATTTAAAAATGTAAAAAATAAAAGTTTGAAGCCCGATAGCTTCAAACTCATTTCCAGTAAAATTTTGGTGTAATTTAAAATTGATGTGGCAGATAGGAAAGTTTTGAAGCCTCGGGCTTCATATGTATTACCAGTGCTCTCACTCGCCTAAGCTCGAGGCCACAGCTGATGCGAATCGTGTTGCGCTAACCCGCGATAGTGCGTTTTTGTTTTTATTCTATAACCCACAAAATAAATTTTAATAAATTTATAAGAGAGTTTATATTACTGTAATACTGTATATCTCCTCACAAATTTTTTCTTTAAAATATTAAAATGATAATGTTCATCTCAGTAGTAAGCATTTGCTTACTTTCGTTCATATGAAGGTTCACCGTGGGCCCTAGATTGACAGTAGTATTGCAGACTTATAAATACTTTTTACTAAATATGAGTAAATATACACACTCAGTTCTAAAAGAAAGCTCTCAGTTTGAAATAGTAGAAAGTTTAAGAAAATGAAAATGTGTGATGGGGTGATACAGAAAAGAGAAAAAGATTGTGACTTTGTGAGACACTCAAACCTTTTTATAAAAGAAAAGAATTGATTTTTTTAGACATACTAAGACGAAGGGAGTATGAGTGAAGAGTTTACCCACTTATTTAGTTATTTGGTCTATCAACGGGCTGACTTTGATTACTCCCTCCTACCTATCATGATCTTCCCGGTTCGCAAAACGAAGAAAAATTCCAAGTTTTTTCAATCTATTTTATTTAAATATTGATAAGAAATAAAAAATAAAACATACATATTTAAAAACTACACCAAAAGTTCAACAAAACAAGTGGTGACAAGAATATTTTATTTTATCGTATAGGCCATGAAAAAACACAAATAAATATAAATTCCCGTGAAGTTGGAATAGTGCTCTGGGAAGATCATTATAGGACGGAGGGAGTATTAATTTGTCATTCACCCATTAATCAATTTTGGCGTATAATAATATTACTCTATATCAATCAATGGTCGTTAGTGGACTTTATTCATAATTAATCTCGAAACGATTGTTCAAATGTCTATTTAAAAAAAATCAACACGCACCAAGTATTCTTTTTCTATATAAAAGAACGTGACATTTTTTGGAACAAACAAAGAATGAAGTCCACTATGAGGCAAATAAATAAAACTAGAAAAAGTTTATATGTCAACAATTAAATGAATATTAACAAATACGTGTATAAATCATATTCACATACCACAGATTACATACATTTTTAAAAAAACTATTCTCAAATCATAGTGTCAAAATATAAAGCATCACAAATACATGCTAGGGGATAAACACTCACTTCAAAAATTTGACATATAATCTAACTTGCTAGCCAATAAATTAGCAATCTATTCCGCCAACTTCCTAATACTCAACCAAGAGAGTAAAGAAGACTCTTAATTAAAACCCAACAATCTGATAGCGGTATTTATTTAACTTTTGATGCATCAAAAAATTCACAATTGTATTGATGTGAGTGGAGGGAATTGAGTTAATTGACTCCAAAATCCGAACTCTAATGTTTTTGAATCAAATTGACCTCCTCTTTAACTAGATTTCTTTAGGCTTAAAACAAAATTTGAATATTATTAAAATATCCCTTCCGCTAACAATAATGTTCTCGCTCATTATTTACATAGTCAAACTTTATTCATTTTGTTGACGTATTTTCACTGCTCGTTTGATAAAATAATGTAATCATGTCACTTCTATGATTGTAAGCCTTTTCATGTATTTTTTAAATATGTAATTTTGTTTTTTAAATTTATACGATTTTTTTATAAAAAATGATTTGATGATAACTTCAGTCAAACATCGTAACGGACAATGACGGAATGAGTACTAAACCATCATAGACCATGTCCACATCTATACTAGATGAAAATAAAAAGATGAGGAGTGCTAGGGGAATCCCACTTGGGATACACCAATTTAAAAAAAAGACACACAGAGACTCTCAACTGTATGTGCACAGACATTTAGTGTCTATCTGTGCATATTTTTGCCTTAGTGTACATTTGGTGTATTCTAAATGGAGTTCCACAAACATTTTTTTAATAGGATGGATATTCTATGTATGACCAAAGTGAGTCCAACTGCAAGCAACACAGACCCGGTCGTTAGTAGTAAACGACAAAAGACATAACATGTGCGCAACTCCATGAGACAATAATCAAATGGGTAACAACCGAAGATTCATAGTATCATATCCTTAGACAAAATACAAACCACACCTATCCCATCTCACCTAATCCTTTTCACTAGTAAAACCAATTTCCAATTCCAAGAATGCACTTATTTTTGCTTTTTGATTCTGATTTCTTATTTAACTAAACTTACCATAACCTTCCTAGGAGAGCTTTTAAAATAAGAGAACATTAGATATGAAGAAATTTAGATCACGCTTTTCAAATAAAACCTTTTTTTTTCAAGACACAAATTTTCAAACATAATTTTTTCTTACAGAAAAACAAAAATTGTAGTTGGTCTAAGTCGGCTAATAATCCTAAAGAAATCTATAGGACTAAACATAGAACTTATTTCAAAATAAAAACTTTTATTTGTTTTACTCCATATTTCCTTAATAGGAGTATTGACACAGTGAGATGTCACAACTTGACATTTGAACATTGATATTTCACTCATTCTAAGTCTTATTTTAGTATAAAACCATGGGGAATTGATGAAGGTGGGTGATTATGAGAACGTAGGGAGATGATGGGGGATGATCCCTAGCCTAGCGTCTACCTCAACCGACCATGCAAGAGATTCCAAACTCACTCTTGGGTCAAGTTAGCCCGACCCATTTCACGTGGACTGCATCCACCTATCAAATGTTTGAGCTTGGGTGGCTTGAGACTAACACCAATGTATTATACTATTATGCTTGATTCACTATGCACATTTGGGTCAACTCTGAATCCTCCAATACACCCATCAAATATACATATACACCAAGTCTTACACGATGGTAGCCCATTCAAACACCTCCAAACCTCACCATCCACACAAAGTAATGGGGAGTGTCATTTCAAAGGTAATCCACACATTAGTCTAGAAAAAATGATAAAATTGATAGAAAGCTAATTTACAGGGACAGAAATGCTGCAATGTTTTTGAAGCAGCCTTTTCTGTTTCAACTTGAGGAAAAACAAGTGAAGATAACTTAACCTAACAAGTGGGAGAACATAAAGACTTTCATCCCACTCTTTTTCCTTCACTACTATACATATACATGCATACATACGTACATACATACACATACATGCATACATACGTACATACATACACATACATGCATACATACGTACATACATGCATAGACATACATACATATAGGGATTAACTCCAGTACGACAATATTTTGGCAGAATTAGTAGGATGAAACACACGAGCCATCCATTTCATAAAGTGACAATATTGCAAAAATGCCACCTTACATTTGATTGACTCGCGTGATTTCATCCCACTCATCCCACATAAATATTATCATCACATGCGAGTCAATCCTATATATACAAAGTGTGTGTGTGTATGTGTGTGTATACATACACATACATATATGTCTATACACACACACACAGGCATCCACCTCATAGGGTAAGGATTGCGTGCACACTCCCTCTCCGCCCTATTGGATTTGTTGTTGCATAGACATCCAACCCCATAAAGTCCAAAGAGCGAAAGAGGTGACTAAAGCTTGATAGTAGAGGGAGAGGGAGAGGCAGAAGCAGAACGAATCAAAGAGATGGACGGAGATTTTCGGGTTCTCTGTCTTCTACTACTACTACTACTACTTGTAGCTGACCTTGTAGGATGAGGCGTGGCGTTGCTTGTATTGGCAGAAGTACTTACAAACCTACTTGAATGGCTTCTTAACTTCTTCTTGTCAACAACTCTTTCGTCGGCCTTTATTTGCCGAACTTTGGTCTCGTTCAGGCCCGCTGGGAGGACGCAATTGCAAAGAAAACCTTCAAAGTAATACAGAAAAACCATTACTAACTCCCAATATCCAACACAGAAAACTGTCATATTGAACAAGTATTACAAGCTAAAAAGAATTACAGACTCTTACAAAGGTTTATGTCGTGAAAAAACGATACTCGAATAAGAGTCATAGGATGGGAAATCTATCACCCCGAGCACTCAGGCCAACAGGGTTGTGGAAGGGTAAATCATGGTGACTGAGCAGACCCTTAGATCGGAATACCAGTGTCCTGCACTGAAAAGGAGTCCACCAAATTGGGTGAAACTCCCACACACCGGCAGTGTCTACACTATACACTGAGCTGCCAATGTTGACATAAGAGTCCTAGGGAGATTGGGTTAAGGCAGGCAATCCTGGCATGTAAACTTTAGTCCACTACTAAATTCCATTAGAATTCCACATTAATTGTGAACATTTTCCTATGTTAGTCCTCTATGTCATTAAATCCCAACTAAGGTCCTTTAAATTTTTGAAATATTGCTACTTTTAGTCATATGTTCGTGTTTATCCACTGTATCATTTTAAGGACTTTTGATGAGAAGAAGACTGAAATTGGCCATGGTCACAATTGAAATGGAACTCCATGGAATTTTATAAAGTAGTGGACTAAATGTAAAATATTCCCAAATACTCCGTTCAAAGGACTATTTGTGGAATTTAATCCATTGTTTTTTACCCATTCCAAATTGGGGAAATTCTAGCTCTGTCCCATCATAATTCAAAAAAGCCAATGATATATAATTAGCCTATAGTAAAGTGATACTTGTCCCGTACTGCAGTTCAAAATAGTGGGGATTAATCTAAAGATTAAGGGGAAACGTATACGGAGTATGTATCTTATCCGTGATTTCAGACAATATTTCCCAAATTTCAAAATGTATCATGGTCAGGTGGGGCCACCAGTTGGGCTATTAAAATAGGAAAGCATCATAAGCAATGTGTAAAGTGTAAACAATAAGGAGTAGTGAAAGAAAAGGCCTTGAATTTAACAGCCCGTATTATTCTTTACCCCCAAACGGACAACAAAATAAATAAATAAAAAGTACTGCACAAAAGCAATGGCAAAGGTCAAAAAAGGTAGCTAAAGAAAAGCAAAGCTTAGGAAAAAGGAAAAGGAACTTAAAGCGACAGCAAGTGTCTTTAACCATTTGGCCATTTCCATCATTATGTATGGTAAATTCTTCCATTACCGTTTACTATCTAGCTATACCAACCATTTGCCACCCCATCCAAAATCTCAAATACTGCTCCGTACTAACAGGCTATATAGAGAAAATTATATTTGTTCCAAATAATTACTCCCTTCATGCCAAAATAAAGTTTTCATGTCGGTTTAAAATGTTTGATTGGAATTATTGTCAATTCAATTTATTTGAAAATTAGAGTAGAATAAAAGCATTATATATTTAAAAATTACATCAAAACTTCTACCATACAAGACGTGACATGAAAATAATTTTACAAAATGAGCAATGGAAATAGACCAAGAGAGTGATAAAGTTTAACCATGTAAATAGTAAATAATTTTTTACCATGTAAATAGTGAAAGGAAACTTCATTTTGGGACAAATGGAGTATTAACTTTCAAATCATCATTAATTGTTTATTTTTCACATTTAAAGAGTAAATTCTATAATTGGTCCTTTATAACAGGAGGGTTTCCCTATTTAGTCATCTATTATCAAATATTACTCAAGTGGTCCTTCTTTTATGGGTACCTTTCCACAAATAGTCCTTTTTTGATCTTCTAGGTGTTAATTTGAGGGCTAAAAGTGTAATTTCACAATGATAATATATCTTTTTTGTCATACACAATTCCAAAGGCTGTTCCGTTTGCGTCGTTTGTGAATTACAGTCGCTTTTTACGATAACTATAGTCTACAAATATGATCTTTCGTCAGAATCCTAGCTAGCCCACAATCATAGTCATTATTTTTGTGTTATCCGCTTAACCAATATTAGAACACGTCACTAGACATAATGTTGACGTCAAATTATACTTTTAGCTTTTAAATTAACACCAATACGGCAGAAGATCAAAAAAAGGACTATTTGTGGAAAGGTACCTTTAAAAAAAGGACTACGGAGATAATATTTGATAATAGAGGACTAAATATGGAAACCCCCTTGTTATAAAGGACTAATTATGGAATTTACTCACATTTAAAATTCAAAATTATGTTGTTGAAATTTATTTTGTATAATTTAAATGCAGTTATTTTTTTATTTCTAAGACTTTATTGCTTCCTTAATATTTGTGTAAATGGCTAAACCAGTGATTATTTGACAATGAGTACTAGTGTTCACTATGAGGCCCATTTTTTCAACAGAGTTGTTAGTTGTCACTTGTTAGTAGGGGAGAAAGGAAACCTCAGTTAGTGGTTACCTTGAAGGAGTTTCAACCTTTGGTGGGGACGTGGGGACTGAGGAAGGAAAATCAGCTGAACTACCCATTACCCTTCTAGAATTTCATAAATTTTCTTTAGCAATTGAATTTCATATTATGATCTAAAAGAAATAGAAGGAATGGAAACCAATGAATACTCATTTTGCAGCCCATGACTTTTGTTTGTGCATTATAGAAGCCAAGTCCTTTTAAGCATCAGGTATCCCATGAAGGACATATTTGTACTTTAAATAACCTAAGCTGCATATTTACCCCTCTACCCCAACCCAAAAGTACCTCACAAATAAATGAAGAAGCAGAATTACAAAGTGAGAGCAAAGGAAGATTGACTTTAAAGCTAGTGCTGNGTTTCATAGTGTGATAAAATAAAGAAATCAATGGAAAACTACAATAAAATCGTGTATTATGTAAATAAACTAGTAAAGTTATTTTTGTATAGTTTAGCATTATATTATATTTTAAAGTGTAAATTTAAATTAGACTTATGTTTTATTACATCACATGTCATTTAATTATCCATTGCCAAATAATCTAGAAACAGCTTTGCTAAGTCTAGCAACGTGGTCTTTGTCAAAGTTTTCTTCGTGGTCTAAAAAACTAGCCTAATCCCCACGCTTTAAACCAACACAATTGTGGTCATTATAAAGAGATAGCATAAAGCAAAGTGGGACATGGAGTTGGGAATCTATATATGAGACAAAAACGGCAAGTACAGTAGACACTCAAAAATCATTTCGTTTAAATGGTAGGGAAGGAGAAAATGGTAAAGAAAATACTTTTCTATGTTTAATTTTACATTTAAATTCTATATTTCTTACAAAATGAAAATGTCATCTTTCGATTTAAAAAAAAAGTGTTAGGAGAGCCTGAAGTATTTATGTAGACTGTAGAGTTTCCTAAACGCAAGAAAAGATTAAAGATGAGTTTGAATAAACATCTTAAATGGATTGATGTTTGAACCATCATTTTACGTTTCCCCAAACTTTTTCTCTCATGATTTTTCCTCTATCTTTCTTAAAACTTTCGTTCACTAGCATTCTAAGTGTTCCAAGGAGATCCATAGTTTCTTATTGCCGCTTGTTCAAATGAGAGTTATGTAGGACTGATACGAAAAACAAGAGCAAAAGCTTATTTACCTAAACGAGCAAGGCGATTAACCCATCTAGGAATTTGTTTCCCTGTCAATCTGGTGCATACATCATTGCAGAAATGGTTGCAGTTCTTCGTAATGAGATTGTATGAGCTGCCACCATACTCCTCGGCAAGTTTCTCCATGAATGTGCGGACTTCTTTCGGGCCCAAATCGGTTCGCCCGATAAGTATTGATTTTCTGAATGTGAATCCCGGGCACTGCTTAGGTTCGACTTCAAATATTCCACTGGTGGAATGCTCATGCGCGCCGAACCCATATTCAACCCCATGAACTATAAGAAAATATGGAAAATTTGTATCACAAAATTGTAAGTTCAAACTCTTTTTTTCTTCTTATATTGCGTCCAGAAATACATAATTGCTACGTAAGCATTAACACATCAAATCGAAGCAGGAATATGTTCCCATGGAGTTGGAATCAATAATGAATCCTTGGATGATTTAAACTATGAATTACGAGATTTCAGCACCAGCATCAAGTAATTCTAGTTCCCATGGAGTTGGAATTCACAGAAAGACAAGCCAGTACAGACCCCAAATACTCGAATTATTTCACATTCCTTGATTCCCTTGCCGAGAGAAATTCCATTAAATGAATTACAGTACAAACTGCAGAAATGCACATTTAGGAAATTTAGATAGAAATAGAGAGAGAATTGTAAATGTTTTCGAATCAAATCCTCGGTTTATCTGCAGGAAAAAGTAATAAGGATGCCAATCAACCCATTTCGAAAAACTCTGACCTCTTGCATCTAATCCACCATTGCTTAAAAATCAAAATTCAGAGCGTTCGTGGCTATCTATACACAGTTCAAAATTCAGCAAGGAGATCAGAAAAACGTGTAGAACTGTTTCAGGCAAACGAAATGGAATGGAGCAAACCTTGGACGCCGGAGTGATAGACGCCGAGACCGAACCAGTAAGCGTAGCCATTGATCGGAGTGAGATCATACACATTCAGGTACACCGGCACGGCGCCGGTCTTCCTCTTCCGACGAAGCACAATCGTTCTACACCACATCATCAATCCACCTCTCTTCTTCTCCCTCTCCGTCGATCCGCCGCGGATCGGAGATTTATGAGCTCCGCTAAGGAAAATCGAACCCCAATTGCTTCTACAGTTCCTTAGAATCGGAGAATCCGAATCGTGCGCTGTTGGACGGAAAACGAAATGTGGAAATTGAGTCGTAATTACGGCGGAAAAAAACTGACAGGGAAGAGAGGGAGAGAGAAAGGTATGGCCAAAACGCAGAGATGAATCTGAATGTGAAAATGCGTTCATACGACGGATTCGAAGTCACAGTAATTTATACTGTATCCGTCAAAAGTGCTTTTCTTTGGTGTTTGAACCATTGATGCATTAATGTCTCTAGACGTGTACAAATTTTTAAAATTAATTTTTTTAGTTTTGATTATTACCGGAAAAAAATAATCATGTTAGGAGTACACAAAAAAAATATATTCTAATTGTGCCTCAATGAAATTTACAGGCATTTTAACGGTTCACACCAATACAGAATGTTAGTTCACTTTAAAAAATTTGCACTGATATTTTCTGTCAATGTAAACCATCACACTAGTACACTAGCACAAAATGTAAACCATCACATCATCACACTAACACAAAATGTCGGTGCACGCCTCTAGAATACAAAATGAATTACAAGTTTTGGTGTACAAATAGCTTAATCCAAAAAAAGATATTGAATTTTTATAGTGTGGATCCACATGCATGAGTACTTATAGTTGTTCATGTTTGTGCGTTTCTAAGAGATGGATGGGGCGGGTCGAACGTGTTGACACGAGTTTGTGCATGTTTAAGACTAAGAGTGACACTATTGTAGTTGAGATTGAGATTAACATTATTATAATTTTCATACTTTTACAAGTAATCATAGTCTATGTAAAAATAGTAGAGTCGTGCAGTCATGCTAGGGTCATTGCTATCAAAGGTGTATCCAAATTTCGCACAGATGACACAGATGATAATCATTTGTGTAAAGTTTAGGTGCACACATGGTAGCAACCATTTGGGGTCACTCAAGCATTTTCTAAAATAATATCAACTTAATTGTCATCTATGTGAGAGAGAGACGAGTATCATCTTGGTGTCATCCTCAAAGTATCATTTCTCTCTATTGGCGAATCTGTGTGGAGAGGAATATGGGCACTTGCTCAGTTGCCCCAATGAATTTTAGTTTTATGTATTTAGTACAATTCTGTCGTGGACCTAATATCCATGTCATTTTATGGGCTTTGGTTTATTTGTAACATAAAAAATGTAGGCCTTTTACAAAAAAAAATATCACATGCAAGTCCACGAAAAGTGTGAGAATATCCACATTTTAAATGTGGAACTTGAGACCATGTAAACATTATTCTTTCTCCAACTACGTGAAATAGAATCACGTCATTTTTTTGGAATAAAAAAGGTAAAAGAAATTTATTTTGATACAGAGTACAATTTAGGATAGGGTAGTAACTGCTGAATTGACAATTAGACACTTAGACTAATCATATTAAATATTGAATTCAATCAATTACTTAGTTCAATTGAATATTTTATATGTCCTGATGGTGTAAATATAGATGGGTGGGTTGACCTGGTAAGACCTGGACACTCGACCCGTAATATAAAACACACAACAAGAACACAAAGTATGACCTAGACCGAGTAAATCTCCTCAGTCCGAAATATATTTCTTACTTTGTCTCAATAGTGTACTAGTTTTTTAGTGAGATAAAGAATGGATCCCCTCCTCTATCAAATATCATCATATTTATAGAGGAGGATTTGTGACCTTCCCCTGTTCATCCATGGACAAAATAGGAAGCTCGTGGGAAGGTCACTGTAGATAATGGAAGCACTGTACAATCATGGACTTGTTACTAATACAACCAAAAAGCACTGTTCAATCAAAGACTAAAATGGATATTCTCAATCCAATCAACCCTGCAACATGAAAAACATCCTTTTCACTGTGTGCCTCGTGATGGATGAGCGGTGGAGTGTTCCCTTGACCTTTGACGTGGTTCGTCATGCCTAAGAGACTGGACCAATATTAGCCAAGTCAAGTGATATGACCGGTCACCTTTTCTCAAAGGTTAACCGGTCATTCTTTGAGCTTGACCCGTCTCTTTGGTCTTCCTGGATATTCTTCGTAACATTAGGCGACATTTTGGCTATCGCCCAAAATGTGACCGGTCACTTTTTTAGTGGAAGTGACCGGTCAACTTTTGACCCGTCCCAATCGAAGAGTTAACCTCATTTGGTGATTGATAAAAGTGACCGGTCATACTTTGACCTGTCCCTTTCGGTTGTCCGGGTCGGGTATATGGATATACCCATCAAGAAGTCCTCCACTTACCGGCCTTGTGAGGAAATCATCAAGGGCGGGAAGTATACTTATGTTAACCCATCACTGTGAATTCAACAAGTCTTCCCTCATACCTGTCCTTATTTGGAATCACAAAGGCACCCTCACTGACCTATCCTTTTGAAACACCAAATCCTTCTCGTGACCTGTCTGTTTGAATCACCATGTCTCTCTCATGACATGTCCTTTTGAAATCACCAAGCCTCTCTCATGACCTGTCCTTTTGAAATCACCAAGCCTCTCTCATGACCTGTCCTTTTGAATCACCAAGTCCTTCACATGACCTGTCCTTTTGAAATCATCAACTCATTTCCATGACCTGTCATTCTTTGAAATCATCAACTCATTCTCATGACCTATCATTCTTTGAAATCGTCAAGCCATTCCCATGACCTGTCCTTTTTTTGAAATCGTCAAGCCATTCCCATGACCTGTCCTTCTTTGAAATCGTCAAGCCATTCCCATGACCTGTCCTTCTTTGAAATCGTCAAGCCATTCCCATGACCTGTCCTTCTTTGAAATCGTTAAGCCATTCCCATGAATTGTCCTTCTTTGGAATCATCAAGTCATTCTCATGACATGTCCTTCTTTGAAATCATCAAGTCATTCACATGACCTCTCCTTTTTTGAAACAATCCAGCCTTTCTCTTGACCAATCCTTTTTTGAAATAATCAAGCCTTTCCCTTGACCGAAAATGAGGTTTTGGGTAACATTTCTTTTTTCTAACCTGGCACTTTGGGGCTCCTCAGACCTGGCACTTTGCGGATCATCACACGTATCACTTTGGAGTTCATCAGACCTGGCGCTTTGAAGTTCATCAGACCTGGCACTTTGGAGACCATCAGACCTGGAACTTTGGAGTTCATCAGACCTGGCGCTTTTGGGGTTCATCGGACCTGGCGCTTTGGAGTTCATCAGACCTGGCACTTTGGAGACCATCAGACCTGGCACTTTGGAGTTCATCAGACTTGGCGCTTTTGGTGTTCATCGGACCTGGCACTTTGGAGTTTATCAGACCTGGCGCTTTTGAAATCATCAAGTCTTCCTCTTTGAACTGTCACTTTTGAAATCTTCAAGTCTTCCTCTTTAACCTCTCACTTTTGAAATCGTCAAGTCTTCCTCTTTGACCTCTCACTTTTGAATTATTAGGAAATCAAAATGTAAACTCTAAAGCATTAACCGGTCTACTTTTTTTTTTTTAGACTTCTGCCATGTAAGTCCTCCTAGTCCTCCTAGGGTACCCGGTCAAGTGCCCGGTGCACACCCCTCCAAAAGCACCTCCGGAGTGAGGGGGTGAAGTCACCCAAGGTGGAAGTCCAGGTCCCTGACAAAGAGGTTGGCCACTTTTCTTTCCAGCCCGTCCCACGGGTGGAAGGGTCACCAATTAAGGAAGTTTTCATGGTCTGGTCACATTCCTTTGTGCTTGGTTGAACTTCTTGAATGGCTAAGTTTTTTTTTTGCATGGTTATTTTCCTATCGGGTCCCCCTTCAAAGCTGACTAGTTAGACTTGCATGGTTGTTTTCTTGCTTGGCCCCCCTCTGAAATTGCCTGGCTACACTTGCATGGTTGTTTTCCTTGCTTGATCCTTACCTTAAGAATTGTTTAAAGAATGTCCAGGTCATCTCATGACCTGGTCTTTAAAACATCCTGGTCTAATTGGCTTGGTTGACCATTTTCTAGTACATGTTTGCTTCCAAGTCAATAGAAGTAACCGGCCTACTTGGCTTGGTTGAAAACGTCTAGGTTCTTTAATGTCCTGGTCAATTTCATCTCTTGAAAATGTCCAGGTCTTGTAATCTTGGAAACGTCTAGGTCCAGGGCACCTCATGCCTGACTAGTCTTTTGGACCGGCTTATGTCTATGCTGAACTGCAACAAACGTTCAGGTCATCTCATGTCCTGGTGTAGTAGGCTAGGTTAAAAGTTTTGAAGATCACTTTAGACGCAAGGCTTGAAAACTTCCAGGTCATCTCATGTCCTGGTCTCTGTACTTGAAACGTCTAGGTCAGTTTCTTCCCGGCTTGTCTTCTGACCCAGTCAACTTCCAGGTTAGAATGTGACACTCTTCTAGGTTGAATTCTTCCTCACCAACTTCCAATGGCTTGGTTGCAATATGTAACCAGCATGACGTCAAATTTTCTGTCCAGGTGCCGGGTAAAAAATATGACCGGTCAAAATGGAAGTTTTCCAGATCTGCCTGATTTCCTCAAATCCAACCAGAAAAAAGTGACCGGTCACTTTTTCAAAGTTGACCGGTCAAATGTTAATTTTTTCCCATTCGCATTTTCTTGCCAATCCAGATCATCAAAAAGTGACCGGTCACTTTTGACCATGCCACTTTCCTTTACCCCTTTGGCCTGGATGGCATGCCTAACAGCAACCTTGCTCAAATTTCGAACGAATAATCCGAAATGGTTTTGGAATCATCAAGTCTCAACATCAAGACCCGAACTTTCTTCGGAGATTTTGACCATGTCCTATGATCGCGAACCCTCTCCAAGGTTCAGCCCTCTTCCAGGCAACACCCTTCTTCCAGGGCCCCTCTTCCAGGTTTTAAGTTTTTTAATGTGCCATTCTCTAATTATTAGGTTGACCTTGCCAACCTAATCTTCCCACATGGGGGTATGCCGGTGAGAACCAGCCCTCATCCAATCCTGCACGTCCATATATTATGTGTTCGGAAATTCTAGTCTTCCCTAGACATTCCGATCCACAAAGGATGGCTCATACAAGACGGTAATATTTTTTTTGCATCTTTTCTAACCCTTCCCGACCAAAAAGTCGATAGGGATCCATGTAAGTATGGATGCGAATCCTCTTCCGGATCCAGCCTGTCTCAAGGCGATACCTCAACATCAAGGCCCCTTATCCACCCTCTCTTCTTTCCCTGATCATATTCATGTGGGTGGATTCAAGTACTCGCCTATGTGTCTTCCTCAAGCCCCGTAACGAGTATTTCATCCAATTCCCCTTTCAAGGTCATCTCCCTGAGCACGACCCTCACATTCCGTCAATCTGTCGTGTTGTGAGAGTCGGATTGGTGGTAGGTGCACCACTTCTCTGTCCAAGGCCGCTTGTGTTGTTCTCCTTTCTTCTCATCCCTTATTTGATGAACACACCCATCATATGTGGCCCTCGGCTTGGACCCTCCCATCTGGTCGTCCTTTGGTTTGTCGGCTTTTACCCTTGTATAGCCTTCCTCCAGCTCCCGCTTGCTGTTGTTCAGGACTTCCACCTCGGCATACTCCCATGCCGTATTGTACGCTTCCTGATAAGAGGAGGGTGGCCTCCTACAGAATTCAGTGTAGAGGTTACCCGACCGGAAGGCATTCATCAACAAAGACATGGCTGTCTTATCGTCCATCTCTTCTACTTTGTCAACCTCGTCCCTCCAGCGAGTTAAGAACTGAGTCAAGGACTCCTTCTCCCTCTGCCCTACCGTGTTAAGGTAGGTGAACTTCTTCCTCTTGATGCAGTTATCCTGGTACTTCTTGCGGAAAACTTTGGCAAGTTTCTCAAAGGACCCAATCCTGCCATGGGGAAGGCCATTAAACCATTCCACTGGCCTCCCTCTCAAGGATGAGAAGAAGAGCAAGCACTCCTCAGCATCAGTGCACCCGGCCATCTGTGCTGCATTGTGGAAGGTGTCAAGGTGGACATTTGGATCCTCCTTTCCAGTGAATTTCTCCACGTCCAGCTTGACCTTCCGCCTTAATTTTTGGGCATGTACCCTAACCGAAAAGGGTGATTTGGCCAGGGTGTGCTTCTTTGCTCCCGCCTTCTCTTCCACCTTTTCCTCCAGGGCACGTAGCTTTCTTGCTACGCTCCCTATCTTGTCCAGGTCATCCTCATCATATGAGAGCCTGGTGTATGCCGATGCCCTGGGCTGGCTTTCAGCTTCCTCCTCGTCTAGGTGAATCGTCTCAGATTCCCTAGAACGACGAGATTGGGCGGGACGACTCCCTCCAAGTCTTTCCATTGCGCTGGTCCGGCCCATCTCAGGACCAAGACGTAGCTTGGCAGACTTGCGGGGCCCATCCTCTTTGTCCCCTAGGCGTTTGAACGCCGAATCTCGGGTCTTGCTGGGTTTGGCTATAGCCTTACCCTTCCTTCTGCGGGCCGCCTCTTGCTCTGCCTCATCGACCTCATGGACATTTGAGGGTGCTGCTTCATTCATGGTCCCCGTCAGATTCACCGGGCGTATAGGGACCATCCTAGGGACAAATGTCGACGGGGTCGACATCGGAGGTGGCATGATTGGCGGCGTCATACCAGGATAGGCAAATGGCATGAAGCCCCCTGCCTGTTGCATCATGGCCATCACCTGTTGATAGCCCTGTAGAGCCTGAGCATTTGCCGGGTCAGCAGCAAAATGAGCCCAAGCTGACGGGTATGGTGTGAAAGCTCCACCAGGCGTTGTTATCGAGCCTGGGAACATTGTTGTCGTTGGCGCAGGAGTAGGGGTTGACATGATTGGGATCATGCCAACTGATCCTACCGTGGTGATCGGGGCAAAGGTCGTCCCCATGCCTGGCATCATCAATGGGATGGCAGGAGTGCTTTCACTCGCAGCCTGACTTGACACAGTGTTGTGGTTGCTTGAAGACATGATTGTGGATATTTAGTGGGGGTAAAGTTTTGACCTGGTCGAAAAAACTTTAAAAATCGGCCCCACGGTGGGCGCCAAAAATGATGGTGTAAATATAGATGGGTGGGTTGACCTGGTAAGACCTGGACACTCGACCCGTAATATAAAACACACAACAAGAACACAAAGTATGACCTAGACCGGGTAAATCTCCTCAGTCCGAAATATATTTCTTACTCTGTCTCAATAGTGTACTAGTTTTTTAGTGAGATAAAGAATGGATCCCCTCCTCTATCAAATATCATCATATTTATAGAGGAGGATTTGTGACCTTCCCCTGTTCATCCATGGACAAAATAGGAAGCTCGTGGGAAGGTCACTGTAGATAATGGAAGCACTGTACAATCATGGACTTGTTACTAATACAACCAAAAAGCACTGTTCAATCAAAGACTAAAATGGATATTCTCAATCCAATCAACCCTGCAACATGACAAACATCCCTTTCACTGTGTGCCTCGTGATAGATGAGCGGTGGAGTGTTCCCTTGACCTTTGACGTGGTTCGTCATGCCTAAGAGACTGGACCAATATTAGCCAAGTCAAGTGATATGACCGGTCACCTTTTCTCAAAGGTTAACCGGTCATTCTTTGAGCTTGACCCGTCTCTTTGGTCTTCCTGGATATTCTTCGTAACATTAGGCGACATTTTGGCTATCGCCCAAAATTTGACCGGTCACTTTTTTAGTGGAAGTGACCGGTCAACTTTTGACCCGTCCCAATCGAAGAGTTAACCTCATTTGGTGATTGATAAAAGTGACCGGTCATACTTTGACCTGTCCCTTTCGGTTGTCCGGGTCGGGTATATGGATATACCCATCATGTCCATTATTTTTCTCTTCAACTTTCAATGTGGAGATATTTATGGACTATGATACTCATGTGGCTAATCAGGTCATTTTGAATCTAATCGGTAGACTACTTGCAAATAGATTATCATCTCTTGAAACCAATATTTGAGCAGCAAAATCTAAATGACTTGAGTTATTGAGTATGAAATTTAGACGAACAATCAAATTAAATGGGCTGCAAATCGTTGGTATATATTGTATATGAGCAACCAGGCTAAAGATTAGGGTCGCTGGCAGTGAACGTCTAAACCGACACCTTGAAAAACAAGGAAGGCCAAAAGATTAACTGGGCTAAAGATTAGACCCGCTAGTAAAGAGCGTCTAGACGAACACTTTGATAATCGATGAAGGCCAAAAGATCGACTGGGCTAAGGACTAGAACTGCTGGTAGTCTGGTAATGAATGTGTTCGATATATATTAAGTATTTTAAAAGTTCAAATCTAGAAACAGATGAATTAAGTATATGGAGTACTTAGTGTCGGCCGTTTGATAACAACTAATGGTAATTAACATTTAGCTTTAACGTTTTTAAAATCAAATTCTATTGTTGTAAAAATTATTCAAAATATTAATACTCCCTCCGTCCATGTATGATCTTCCCATTACGCGTTACGAGGCTTGACCGATTTTATTTTCAATTCAATTTAATTGATTATAGGAGTAAAATTTTAAAATAAAATGTATATAGTAATAAACTACATGAAAAGTTCTACAAAACTAGAGGTGACAAGACTATATTATTTTATGAAGTGACTAGTAAAATTGAGCAAACAAAGTGGGTAAAGTTTGACCCTGTGAATAGTGTCTGAGAAGATCTATGGTGGACAGAGGGAGTACTCCGTATTAATTAAAAATATTGTTCCTAACAGTTAATAATGTCAATAATCAGGGCCGGCTCAAAGGGTGATCCAAGGTTTCGTACCTTCTCGTGCCCATGTTTTTGGGGGCCTCCATATTTTAAATTTTTGATAAAAATATTATATATATATATATATATGTATATATATATACAAAAGTAAAAGATTTAAATAATTTAATAGTTTAAGGTAGCTATTAAGATATTCATTTATAATATTACTCGAGTACAATTATCTTATGTGTATTGCTATGAAATTAACTATTACGGAGTATTTTAAAGAAAAATACTTATACGGAGTATAATTTAATTTATTTGATTTTTGGTCTCGTCCGCATGTGTAATGCGTTTGACAAATTATCGTGGTAGGTGAAAACATAGAAATTGGCGGACTATGCAAAGAATCCAAAGACGGCCAACTCTCCCAAAGGAGTGTTTGGTGTTTAGATAATTTTATTTGCCAAAAAAAGGTTTTAAGTAAATGTTTAGTAAAACAACAGTAAGATAGAAGTACTTCCCCATTCAAAAAAACTGTAAGAAGTACATGATGAATGTTTTAGTGTCTGTTTGGTACACGAAATTAACAGAATTGAATTTGAATTGGAAATTGGAATTCTATAGAATAAATTTGGGTGGAATTGAATTTTCTAATTCCATACATTTTTGGCATGAGAATTTCCAAATCCACATATTTTTGTAGTACCAAACACCAGAATTAAAATTATTATCTCTAATTCTAATTTCATATTTTGAATTTCGTGTATCAAATGGAGCCTTAGTGAACTTATTTTTAATTAAGAAATCATTTAAAATACTCCCTTTTCCTTCGTTGCAAAAACTCTTTTCCTTTTCTCTTTTTGTCCCACAAAATCCTTCCCTTTTCTATTAAAAACCCACCTTTACTCATACTAATTACTACCTTCGTCCCGCTATATTCGTCCACTTTTGACTTTTGGAACTGTTCATCTAAGCACTTTGACTCATCAAATTCTCTCAATGTGTAAGCCTAAATATAGTCATGTGTGATCTTGTTTGATTTGTCTTAACATATAAATTATTAATATATAATTTATATAATTTTTTAATATACAAATTACAAGATAAAATTGATTAAAGAAGTGCATTAGATGGTGTGTAAAAATGAAAGTGGACAAATATAGTGGGACGGAGGGAGTATTAATTTACCTATCAGGTCATATTTTTTTATTATTAATATACCCATCACAACTTACTTTTCTCATCACATCTAGAGTATTTTTTGAAAAAACAACACAAAATTATCTCTCTCTTAAGATTGTTTTGTATTTTAAATGTTTATGGGTATTCAATTACGACTTTAACAAAATCATTTAAAATATGAGTGTATTTGATAAAGACTTTAAAATAGAAATAACCCTAAGTAGGACTAAAACATAGAAAAAAAGTACTAAAATAGAAGTTTCAGTTTTTATTCTCAAAATAGGACTTCGCACTATGATAATGTGGTTGTAACGTGACATTGTACACGTGCACATTACTATATTTTTTGGTAATATACATGACCATGTTTGGTAATGTAAGGTACTTTAATCTTTTTTCTCAATTTAAAATATCAAAATATCTATAGACAAGGAATAGACTAGGACGAAGGTAGTGCTTCGCAATACATACATAGTTTCTAAATTTACTAAAGCACAAAGAATTAAGGCTCACTGAGTCACTGCAATCCTAATTTTAGAGTTGTGTATGATATGGTATAGTATGGTATTTAGCTCGCACCGATATCGTACCAAATATTTCGATTCGATATGAGATTTTACATTGTACCGATCCCCATCCCGAAATATCTGTTCAGTAGGTTCGAAGATTAATTTGGTATCGGTTTCGGTACAAATCGGGATGAATATACATACTACTTTACACCTTAAAATTTAACAATGCCGCTTTATTTTAGAAAATTAAAAGTGAATTTAAATAAAAAAATTAAAAAATTTTAAAAATAAATATTTAAATGCAATAGATGTGTATCAAAAACTTTGTGAATATTTCTATGCTTATATACAAAAACTAAAACTCAAATAAATATAATTTAAAGATAATAGAACTTGAAAAATATTAAAAAAATTATTTAGTGAAGGAATATAAAATATTACTCTACGGTGGTATTATTTTTTATAATATTTTAGTATATATGTTCAGTTCGAAATTTTCGATATGAAACGTCACCTCGTATCGTCCCCAAATACCGTACCAATCATTTGGTTCGGTACAATTTGATTCCTTCTCGATATTTTTTTGATTAAGTATTCTTAATTTTTTTAGGAAATTTTGGGATCAATACTAAATTGTACTCCGCACTGGCTAGTGAAATCCAACTTAACCCAAAAGTCACCCGAACCTGAACCAGAACAGGATGACCCAAGGTTTAGCCCAAAACCCACCTTTTTCCCAGTAGAACCCCAAATCCTTCTCTCCCTCAACCATGGCCGCTCTTCTTCGTGCTGCGCGCAGCAGCTCGCTCGCCGCTTGCCGCGCCACGATTAACGCATTATTCTCTCATCCTCAACGATTTATTCTCGCCGCCGGTGGGTTCTCCAAGGGTTTCGCCTCTCAATCTCCGCCGCAGACCGCTCGCAAATCTCCGTTCTGCTCAAACATGCTCAGGATCATCCATAACGAAATCGATTACCTCTCCACTTGCGCTCCTCCCCAACCGGTAGTTCATCAACACTTTCTTTTTTTTCCTCCTCATTTCATTCATGTTTTTTTTCATTTTCTCTTTAATTTAGGAATATTTGTGTTTGTTCACTAAGGGCGTGTTTGGTTAGGAGGAAGCGCATCCTGCTCCTTTATTAATCTTTCAGCCAAACAAGTGGAGTTGAGATGATTCCCTTCTCTCTTTTACAAGCAAACATTATTATGGTATTTTTATATATCTTAATTGTTGTGAATACATAATGTGATCATTGTGTGATGAGGAGGAGATACCTTACGGGTTCCGAAAAGAAGTGTGTTCCAAAAAGTAATGAAACGAACTGAAAAGCGATGAAGTGGACCGAATTGTACTGAATTGAAATGAACAAACTCTTAGTGTTACAAATGGATAGATAATTGCTTTAAAAATACAAGTAAACAACAGCGGACTCAGTAAAATCCTACAAAATGTAGAGTCTAGGGGACATGTTTGTATGCAGATCTTATCCCTACTTGGAGAAGTAGAAAGGTTGTTTTCAAAATTTTTAGAGATTTGGGCTCAATCGTTGACAAATACGGGAGAAGACGTCCTTAATACTTGACACACTATTATGCATAACACTTTGTTTTCAAATTCTTCATCTTTCTTCAAACAAGTGGCGTTTTAGGTTATATTTTTATTCCGAAATATGTCTCCGTTATATAAAACTAAAGAACCATTATTTACTTTGTTGATTTTCAAAACTGTCTATATGCTCCCCCCCCTGCTAGTAAAGTGAATGATAGCCATTAATTCTTAGATATCAAATTTTTATCGAATTTATTGTTTCATTTAGGGTATTTTTAGGAGTTAGATTACAAAGGGCTTTGAATGGGTTATTTTTCATTACAAAAAATAGTGCTTTTAACATGAAAATCATTCAATACAAAATGTTAAAATAAATATACTTAGAATGTCCTTAACATTTATTTATTTATCTTCATACGTTGTATATAATTCTCTTGAATTAAACCTAAAAAATAAATATTTTTCTCCCCTCTATAATCCCCCAAAAGCCTCCAAAACCCAACTCCCAAACATACCCTTAGGATCTATGCAGATGTCCTCAAGGAAACTTATTGATGAATGATAATAGAGAGAAATTCACAGTAGCGAGAAGTGAAAACTGAAAAGGTCAATCCTAAATAGCTGTATTCATGTCCTCATAAAGCTCTATTGCTAACCCTTTTTTTATGTGGGATACTTTTTTTAATCACATTTGCCACGGCTATTTAAATACTCCCTCCGTCCCAATGTATTCGTCCATTTTGACTTTTTTGAGTCAAACGAGACAAACTTTAATCAGGAATTACACTAAATTTGTATTGCATATTAATACAATGAAATAAAAATTGGAATGTCGACCTGTGCAACATAAGTCTAACAAAATCATTTTTAATGCTAATATGCAATAGAATTTTATTTAATTGAAGATCAAAGTTAGTATAATTTGATTTAAAAAAGTCAAACTAGACAAATGCATTGGGATAGAGACAATTGAAATTTTGAGCAGTCTTGATTACTGGATAAGTGATCATAGGACGCGTTGATGTCTATAATTGTCCTTTCTTGTTTCTCATGTCTACTCTGTTGTATTTCTCCAGCATGTTACAGTTTTCAATGAATTTACAGTTCAAGATCACCCAGCTGAGCAGTGGATTACCTTAAAGAGGAAGTTTCAGGATGATGAAGACATCAAAATTGAAGTAACAATGTTCGATTGTGCAGTTCCCATCTCCAAATCTGGAGATGGAACTTCTGAAGATGTGCAGCTTCATATTAGTTTTCTAGTAGACATATGGAAGAAGGAAGAAGGGCCTGACTCCTTGGAGTTTGTGTGCTCAGCTTGGCCAGATCGTCTGGAAGTTCAAAAAGTCTATATTTTCAGGCGAGGAGGATTGCAACCATCGCCACTTCCATATATGGGACCGAACATCAAGTATGTCGTTTCCTTTGCTCTATAAATTACCTCTTTGTCCTTTCATGCGTAGGCACTAGGCCCCCTTTGGCCACACCTATGTTGCTTTTGTCCAAATTGACCCTGCTGAGCAAGCATCCTTGGTCAAATGGATGAAGGACCAACCTGGGGATTCTGGTGCTGCTCGGGTTCGATCCCTCAAGGAAGCACGGGGAGGGGATTTTTAAAGGAAGTAGTTTGGGCTATAAAAAATAAAAGGGTTTAAGTGGGCTTTATGATCACCGAGGTTAATGTGTTTCGGCTCCAGGGTTGTAGTGGGACATAGTTCAGGTTTTACTTCTTAAAAAATTTAAAAAAAATATTTTAAAAAAAGTTTAAAAAATTGATCCCACCTAATCATGCAGGCCCCAATCACCTTGCCCCATGCCTAACTTTTGGAGCAATTGTGCTTTTGTATTGAGTCGGCCTATCTTGGAAACAACCTATCTACTTCCAAGTAGGGCTAGGGGCTAAGGACTCTCACCCTCCCGGGACCCTAATATCTTGTGGGGATTCTATTGGGTATGTTATTGTTTGGGGGGGGGGGGGATGAGGCTTTTATAGAGTTTATTACCTTTTGCGCTTGGGGTTAAGTTTTTGTTGTTGATAGCGATGATGATTGCCTTCAGGGATTTGGACAAAAAGCTTCAGGATGGACTTTATGAATTCCTGAAAAAAAGAGGGGTAGATGATGAACTCTCCGTGTTCTTACACAGTTATATGATGAACAAGGAAAGAACTGAACTTCTTCTTTGGCTAAGAAGAATCAAATCTTTTATAGGTGAGTGAAAGCATGCCTCTAAATCTCTCCCATGCCCCCCCCCCCAATTGAATTGGTATTTTGTAACTTGATGAAACTTGTTTTTCCACCATACATCTACTAGTCTTCTTCCAGAGGTGTAAACCATTTCAGGGAGTGCCATAGCTCAGTACAGAATATGTTTTGATCCATTGGGGCCAACACCCTCTGGACTATGTTTGGTTCAAGGAATTTGAAAGGGGAAAAGAAAAGAAAATGATATGAAAAATAATGTTTCTTGTTTGGTTAGAGAGGAAAAGAAAACAAAACTAGAAGGAAAAGAAAATGAGAGAAGAAAATAAACCAAAAGAAGGGAAACCGACTTTCCTTCTATTTTGATGAGGAAAAGTGAGAAACCATTTTCTTTATGAATTCCACGAACCAAACATAGTCTAAAAGAATGGTGCTTTCATTTGGGAACTTATATCTTATTGTAAGTTTCACTTAGTCATGTAGTTTTGTTTGGTACTCAAATATGGGCATTTGAAAGCTATATACAACTACAGCTTGAGTCGAGGGTCTCTTGGAAATAACTTCTCTACTTTCGAGTAGGGGCAATGTCAGCATACATACACCCTCCCCAAACCCTACTTTCGTGGGATGGGTTGTTGTTGTTGTTGTGAAAGCTATATGCAATTACATACAAGTAATGTTCTTCGTTAAAATATGTTTATGAAAGTAATGGAAAGCCCAAAAAATAGTGGGACAAGAAGTATATTAAGGAGGCCCTCATGTGGCTTAGAGGTCGTGGAATAACCTTGGTTCGTGTGATTTCTGATTGTGCACCTTGTGCCATAATCTCACAATTTCATTTTCGGAGGATTGGTCATACATTGGCATCATGTCGTTGATTGTCAAAAATGTTTGTCGAAAACGTTTCGTTTGGAGGCATTTAAGTCATGTTGGAAACATTTGTCGAAAACGTTTTGTTTGGAGGCATTTAAGTTATGTCGGAAACGTTTGGTCTCGCATTGCATTCTATTTCTTGGTCAATTGAGAGGTTGGACCAACACTTTAGGACTATGGTTGGTTCAAGAAATTTGGAAGGGAAAAGAAAAGGAAATCATATGAAAAATAATGTTTGAAGAAAAGAAAATAAGTAAAAGGAACAGGAAAATGAGAAGAAAAAATAAACTAGAGAAGGGAAACCAATTTTTCTTCTATTTTGGTTAGAAATTAGAGAAACCACTTTCTTCTTTTCTTTTTCGTTCTGAATTCCACGTACTAAACAATGTAAAAGAATGCTGCCACCATGTGAATTGGTGGTAGAGTTCTTGTGGGAACATATACTTTTTCTTGTTTTGTAAAACTTTTTATTAGTTATTCTTTACCAATTTTTAAATTAATTATTCGTGTACCAATTTTTAAATAAATTAATTTTAAAAAAATGCTGAACTTTGTCTTATAATTGGGAAATTGTAATTCAATTTGGAAAAGAGTATCTTATTGTAAGTTTCATTTAAGTCATGTAGTTTTGTTTGCTAATCAAATCTGGGTTTTGAAAGCTATCTACCATAACATATGAGAAATGTTCTTTGTTAAAATATCTTTATAGAAGTAATGGAAAGTCCAAAAATAATGGGACAGAAGTATCTACGTACTCCGAATTAAAGTAAGTTTTTTTCCTTTTTTTTTGCACAAAAAAAGTGAATTTTTAAAATGATGGTGTTTTTCCTCAAAAAAAAAATAATAATTTTAAAATAATTTTTTTTACATGTTTCATTCCATTATTTAGGAAAAGTATATATATAATCCAAAACACTTCAGTTTTTTCTAAGTAAATTGTAACTACTCATTTTTGTAAAACTTTTTTCTGACTCTTTCTTAAACACTAAAATTGAGATAATGATTTTGGAAAGGGATGGAGTAATTTCTATAAGCACATTGGTGAAAGCCTGAAAGGAAAGTTTTTCCATATACTCCCTCTGGACATAACTTTGATTGATCAATGCCTTTGTAGGCTATTGCCTCACCAACTAGACATAACTTTGATAGATGTGTTGCGAATGAATATACTCCTTCCATCTCAAAATAAATTTTATAAATAACACTTCAATTTCATTGGGTTTAAAAAAGGTATTAAAAAATTGCAATACCAAAATGTTTAGGAAAAAGAGAAATGTTACGAGTCATACATTCCTTTTACTTGAAAGCAAACGAAAGTGTAAAAATTTTTTAGGCCAATCAAAAAAGAAATATGTGAAACTTATTTGGAGATGAAGGAGCACATAGTGTTAAAGTTAGAGTTTGAAGAATGAATAAGGCTCATCCTCATCTCTATTTTAAGCTCTAAGCTTCCATTAATAACCTCAGAGCCTTTCATACGCATGTACAAAACGCTGTCTAGATCTATACAATTCTACCGTCTAAAAAGGTCCAACATATTTTTCAATCTTGGCTTTCTATGTAAATACCCATTTCCTCATATTTTGGCGTAAATTGTTAGATTTAGCTAGTTACTTTTAATCCGCTCAATCTTGATTTTAAAATAAAAAAACCCAATCTAAATAGTATAAACCATCATATCATATGCTAACAAATGCTCCCTATGTTTTGATCTAAATGAGGGAAGGGTATCACTTTCCTCCCATCCCTTCCAACCAAACACTACTTGGGCATGAACATATGAAAATCAGGTAATGTAATATTCTTGTCCTTTTTTTCCCCAATATAAGACTTAAGAGTGTTCTTTCTCCAATATGCAAATCAGCCATGGATATGTGTCTCCAAAAAGGCAAGGAAAAAAAAATTCTAAAAATATTGCGCCTGTTTGGCATCAGCTATAGCATTTTAGCTTTGACATTTTGAAAAGGTTACCTAATGACATTGTTTAGTTTTTGCATTTTCAAAGATAATTTACACTGTTAAAAAATTATCTAAAACACTAACGCCAATCACAAACATTGTCTCCAAAGAAATCCTTAGTCTATTTGGTCTGCATTTTCCCAAAATGAGTTTTTGTCCCACATGATTCTACTACAATGAGAATATTAGAAATCAACCTCCTACAGCACCTGATTCTAGTGATTTTCATAAATTTGTTCTAAAATCAGAATCTTCTTTTTTTTCTTTTGAAAAAATACAAACCAAACCAGCAGCCCAACGTCTTCATGACGCAATGACTATTCTGATTTTGAGGTTTCTAATCTTGCAAGATGCAGAGCTTCTCAAACCTAAGTTTGCTGAATTTGTGGACATGAGCAACATAATGTGCACATAATGTGCAGCATAAGTTCTCAGGTGCTTCCAAATAGGGGTGGGGAATGCTGGTTTGGTTTAACCAAACATGGTTTGGTTTGATTCAAATAGGATTTATTGGGATTTTAATGTGAATTTTTTGTCCAGTTCTGTGGTTCGGTTATAATCAGTTTGGTTAGGATTTCAGTTAGGACTGGGAGTGCTTCAAATTGACCCAGTTAAGCAAAAGTGATTTGTTACTCAAAGAATTCTAAAAGTAAAACATTGTGGAAAGATGAGTAGAAAAAGACAGCTCCTTACCGTTGGAAGCCGACTACTGACATTACTAAGCTTTGAATTAATGCCGCCAAAAGTTGACCGTTGATACACAAGTGCCTTAAAAGTTTCTTGCGCGTGAGAAATCACACCATCCATCTGCAAGATTATAACACTTTTAAGTTGCTCATTGAAATAACATGCAAGAATACATTGAGAAACAGGCACCAGGCCACCAGCCAACAGAAATACTCTAGAACCAAGAAACTACACACACACACACACACACACCAATGCTCTCATCAGACGTGCATACATGGATGACCCGTGAGTTTACATAAGGAGAGAAGAGAGAGAGAGGAATGTGATGTCACATTCACATATTTGTGGTGGAGATACCAATTTTAACTAAAGAATGTGAGGATGCAAAGTTTATCTGTGTTGACACCCTCTACAGTGGGAAAAGGTTAAATTATTTGGCGAGTTAGGAAAGACAAAGTTTTTGAGATTAGAAGCATTTCTCTTACTAATTACATTCTACAGGACCCTTCAATAAGGAGTTATAAATGTGGTTGTCAAAACTCAAGTTCTCTTATTTGAGGAACTTTGTTACTCCCTCCGTCCCTTTTTTTGTTCCCACTTTGCTTTTTAATGTGTCGATAAACAATGTTCTCATTTCATTTTAACAAAAGATTTGGGTGGTTCATATTATTTTCCATTCCTCTGCATACATTTGTCACGCACAATTTCTCATTTCTTAAGCTTGTGCAAAAAGCAAATGACAAAATGCCACTTTACATTGAATATGTCAGCGGAGAGCATTCATAGCCTGCCGCCAACCAGGATTTGAAATAGCTTCTCAGATGGATTTGAGATTTTGATCAGAGGGTAAACCCAATAGGATTGCACGAAAAGATGGCGAAAGAGGATGGTAAGATACAAAGTTATATACATGTAATGGACTCTGAGTGGATTTCGTACCAATTTAACTTGTGATGCTGAGCCAGATAAAGCATTTGAAATTGGGTCCAAAAACGGCAACTGCTCCGACAATGCACCATTAGGGCCACTATTTTGAATTAGTTGGATGACCCTTAGACTGATGATGATATTTGCAAGGAAATTGAGAGAAAATGTGATGCTGTGGTATATCAAGACTATAGATTGTGTAGACTATGAGGTATTCCAGGAGTTTCTGCTTGAGATGATACTAACAGAGACACGGATAATTAGACATCCTTTGAAATGTGGATGCTGGAAGGATTTCTGAGAAAATATCAAGGATCTCATTGATACGAGTTGAGTACAAGGTTGTTGATTCAGAGAGCATGACATTTGGTGACAGAAGGAAACAACATTTTTTCCATAGATCAATATTCAATTGACAAAAGTGTAACATAGGCAATTCTTTTCCTGATAATTTAAGTAGGTTGTTATTTATTAAATAAATTTTCCCATGTGATCTAAACACCGGAAATGACTTTGGGAAGTCATTTTCTGCTTTACCAAATAGAGCCTTGAAGAAAACATGAGTACACATCTACTCACCTCCAAAATGTATCACTAGCAAACCTTCTGCTAAGGTGTAGTTTCACTTGTTACAAATACGATGGATCAGTTAATTTCTGCTTGCAATAAAACTGCAATTCAAACTGCTAGAGAACCAACCTTCACGACGTAGGTACAATCGTACAAATACAACAATAAAAACAACCCATTTTGATCCCACAAAAGTTGGGTCAGATTAGGGTGTGTAAGCAGACCTGACCCCTACTTGAAAGTAGAGAGGCTGTTTCCAAGAGAACCCCAGCGGGTACACGCATACAAATATAAAAAATAATAATTGGGGCTTTGAATTCTAAATGATATTTTCTTTAAATGCAATTAACCTTTGATCTTCCCATACAGTTTCAATGATCAATTGACTAATTGAGCACCATCAATGATTTTCACTCATTGCCATAATTGACATGTAGACACAAAATTGGTCAAAGTGTTAACATAAGCACAACCGCGCCCATATCGATGGATAAAGATGTCAGAGCTCCATAACCTAAAGATACTTAGTTTATGTTTCTAAAGAGTTTTGGATGGATATGGAGGGGAAGATTTTTAAAGGGCTTAATCTATATCTTAATGATTGATACGTTATACAAATATATATTCCTCCGTCCCACAATGGATTGCACAAGACAATGGATTACAGTCCTCCCAATAACTTTTGTTTGTATGCATGTTTTCATTAATCAATTAATAAAAATGAAATATTCTTGTCACCGCTTGTTTTATAGATCTTTTGACGTAATTTTTTGACATGTAGGTTGTAATTTTATTTGAATACACATTTGTAAACAAAATATTTTTTAAAAAGATGGAATTTTGCATGATGTTCGAAGAGTGTAATCCATTTTGGGACGGAGGAAGTATTATGTTAATCTTCCAATGTTAATAACATCTCAAATATATATCAAAATATAGTATAAGACCTCTGCCAAACAAGCCCTAAGGGGATCCAAAATCTTCATATTTCTTCACAATATAGAAACCCCTTCCCATCAGAGAGAAGATAGTGAGTGAGAACATTGTTTACCAGATATTAAACCCCTTAGCATGCTACTATTAAGTTAACAATGAATGTTGGTTAAGTGTTTGTCTATGGTGTTTGCATTTCATCAAACATAATGCAAATGTTCTTTCTTAAAGAATCAATAATGACATGTATAAAAAAGTCTGCTTTTTATTTTACCTGCCCAGTGCTCCTGTGTAAAGAAGCACGCTCATTAAGGAGTGCTTGATCGTAAGAGCCACCATCATCTTCCAGATCTAATCTAGTGCGATCAAATTCCCTAAAATCATCAAGCAATGACGCATGCTCTTTTTTAGCTCTATAGCTAGAACGGAGACGGTTAAATTCCTACATATAAATGAGCATTTTTATTTTTATCAGTAACATTACCAACCTTCAAATTAAGCTAACATATGCAATATATTAAACTAATATAAAAAATACTAGAGAAAACATGAAGGGGAAATAAATCTTTATAAATCTAGATTAAAAAGACTCTCAAGACCACAAAATGATCTAGCTCACGTGAAGTCACATGTAATCCATTTCCATACATAAGATTCCTTCCAAAAACAAGTCTTCCACAGGCAAAGGTAAATTCTGATAATTTGGAACCTCATACAACAACCCAGTTGGATCCCACGAGAGTAAGGTCTGGGAAGGGTGTGTGTACGCAAACCTTGCCCATACTCGAAAGTAGAGAGATAAATTTGAAATCTCATGGTGAAAAAGAAACATTTGATGCACATTTCCCTCAGGACTCTTTCTAGGGATTCAGTTTCCTATTCACTACAACAGCATCTTGTTTAAAATGTTCATATTTGGCCTTTTGTTAATGGTTGAAAAAGAACTACACTGATGGCTACATTAGCTTTCTCTCTTTGCTTTTTGAAAATAAAATTTTAATGAAGCATTAATCCTAGAACATAGAGGTAAAGTTTACCGCTATGAAATACCTGAGAAAGATCCTGAAGGATTTCTTGATGGCGAGTTAATGTATGTGAAAATATTTCAGATCCTCCAGATGAGACCCAAGCTTGCATGTGAGAGTTAACTTGTTGGATCTGTTTAAGTAGTTGTTCTATCCCAATTTCAAGATCGTTATCTGTGGCATTGTCAACTTTTGTGCTGACTAATTTACGATATAAATGCATCTGCTCATCAAGTTGAGCTTCAAGCTTCCTTGCCTAGTAACATAACAAAAAGAACCATTAGAAGAGAGTAAAAGAAATTGTGAAGAACAAGCATAACACAAGTACCCCCAAGAACCAAGTACTTAATGCCAAAGTAAAAGCTAGGTGTATTATAAACAAAAGGATAGGACAACACTAAACATATTGAAATAAACTTAGGCTTATTTGTCCCTTTTACCTGCAGAGCCATAATAGAGGCTTCTTGAGGACGAATGTTATATAACTAATCCTATAATCTATATAAAATTTAACATGTTCACCGATCAGGAAACAATTAAGTATTACTCTATCCGACGAAAACACCCTTCAAATCCAGAGGCAAAAACTGTAAGAAAATGTATAACTTGTTGAATAAACTAAGGTTTTCTTTGATGAATGAGAGTCAACGTCTATACGCTTGCATGCTTGGTCATTTCATGATATAATGGATTCAAGGTAATATGAACTGACGCTTATTACCGCATGTCAAACTCATATGTGCAACATCACCATATCGATCCTAACCTTTGGACTAAGCATTTCAATCATAAAGCTCACATGTAGCTAGGCAACAACATGACATTCAACTTTTAACACTGGATATGTCACCAATATCTTTTTTTTTCATCTTCCACAATACTTTGTCTACCACTAATAAAAGTGCAAGATGTTGGTCAGATGGACAAGTTTGCTCAAAAATCAAACATCTCATTGACTACCACATAGAGTGCATGGAGTTTCTATAAAATGATTGAGCATTCTAACTGAGAACTATATGGATGTTTGTTTGTAAGATAGTTCATATATCCAGAGAGTCTCCATTCTTGCTCTGGATCAAATAGTGGCCCCAATGTCCCTTTAAAAGGTTCAATTTGAATCCATGGAAGTATCCACCAGTTTGGACAAGCATCATACTAGTAAAGATCAGGCCTTTTTCGGTAATACCGCCCAAACCATCTTCACATGCCACTTATAATCTTCATTGCAATTCAAAATATCTAAACTGAGAAAGATGCATTAGTCCCAACAGGTTCAAATGGTACATTTAGGGCTCCACATTGTGTCCTACGTCTGGACCATCCAAGCTGTAACTCACAGGGATCGCAGTTCAAAAAACTACACTTCCATTGTCAAATAAACTTATAATTTATCAAGCAGAATGCTCTCTTGTGCCTCTGATGGACTCTAGTTATTAGGCAACAGATGGAACATTTGTTAAATCCTCTATATCCAAAGAAAGTGAATTCTTAACCACCTTAGGCAGAATTTTTCTTCACATAACATATATAGAAGAGTTTTAGGACTGCATAATGTCAATCAACCGCGCCCTCTACGCCGGATTCTCCAGCACAACAAAACCTGTAATTTCTCTCTTTACTAAAGTATCATATATTCTATTAGATCTGGATAGAGTGAAGACACCATGTACTCATCAAATTGACATCAAGAAAAGTACCTTTTTTTGTTTTTTTCTTTTTCTGGTGGTGGTGGTGGGGGGGGGGGGGGTGGAATTGTGAATGGAACCAAGACAAATCAATCAACTTCCCTCCATGAATGAGCCAATAAAACTTAACTTCAAAGAAATTGAATCAATTTCACCAAGGCGAACCAATTCAATTCACTCCCAGCGCATGGAGATTAAAAGCACAAATACATAAAATTGAAAGGGGGTTACCTGCTTTCTCAAGGAGTCCCATGAGATTGGCGGATCCATGGTGAAACCCAGCCACGGAAGAGAAGAGTGGAGAGGCCAAGACCGAGACAGAAACACAACCTGCGGATTGCTTGCCTCTCGCAAAGTCTGAAACAAATCTACCAAATTCGGATTCGAATTTCAAAATGATTTTGATTCTCCGTATTTTGGTGGGTGGAAAGATGCAGCTGTGATCAAGACGGGATAGAATTCAGTGGATTTTTGGGTCTGGAATATGAGAATTTGAAGAAATGATTTCAATCCCTAAAACAATTTTTACACTCTTTTTTCTTATTTGTATTGTACATTTTTCTTCTTTTTTTTCTTGTAGAATATATACGTCTTCCCTCCCTAAATCATTTACTTGTGAATAAAATTTTAAATTTTTTTAATTCATTAAATTTGAAGATTGGTATATACGGAGTAAATAAAAAATAAAAAATACATATTTAAAAAGTATATAAAAAGTTCTACAAAAAAGAGATGAAAAGAATGTTTTATTTAATCAAATAAGCAATGAAAATACATTAATAAATAAAAATTTCTGTGATTTTTGAATAGTAAAATATGTAAATTATTTTGGGGCGGAGAGCCTAGTAAATCATACGTTGATTTTTTTTCTCTCCCCCATGTACTAATTTTTAATTATCAATTTTTGAGGAAGCATTTATTTGACTTTCAATTCTTTGAAAAAAAGTGGAAAGTTTGTGTAGTATTTTACACGTCCGGGATTCTTTAGGCCTCGTTTGGTACACAAAAATTAAAATTATGGAATTGGAATTGAGGACTTCAATTCTAATTTTAGTGTTTGGTAACAAAAAAATTATGTGTATTTGGAATTGGCAGTGCAAAAAATGAATTGGAATTGGTGAATTCAATTCTAGAGAATTGAATCCCAAGGAATTTCAATTCTAATTCAATTTCAATTCCATCAATTTCGTATACCAAACAGACCCTTAGAGTTTTTCAATTTCATGCTTAGGTTTCCAAACTAATCCAATTTAATTGTTTACGAGATACACTTGATTATCAACTAAATAAAATTATTTTCCATATGATGAAATGATTTTTTTTAAAATATTTGAAGGATAAGTCTAAGGGGCATATTCAATTAGAATTTTATTAAATTTTTTTAGTATTCAAAAAGTCAGTAGATTTGAAAAATTTGTAAAATTTATGTAGAGTTTGATTGATTTTTTTTGTAGAATCCATGTATAAATGATGATTTTTTGTAGAATCCCAACATGTTCTCCTTCCACTCGTCAGACATCTTAGTAATTCAAAAAATAACATTGAAGAGTTTAGTTAATCAAACCAACCACTGTAAATTTGTAACCCACAAACTTGCAAAACAATATTAGATTCTCATCTGACCCCAAGGCTCTCCCACCATGCACCTCGCGGATGTACCAAGCCACCTCCTTTTGATTAATGCGCTGACAATAACCAAAGTCACGAAATATTTCAGACTATTCCAACACACATAGCTCTAACTTCGGATCTCCTCCCACATTTAGGAGGCTACACCTCACATCGATTTGCCACCTTTAGAGTCTCAAAGATAATACACATATCTCAAGATAATGCATATCTAAGAAGATATATGTGCGGAGGCATTGCCTCTAGATAAAAGTAAAGAGTCTAAGTTAGTTTTTCTTTATGTTAATGCGATGAAGGTCCATACACAACAAGTCCTATTCTTAACATTAATTTGAACCAAAGAAAGCTATGGTTAATCGAATCTAGACGCATGTAGTATAGGAAAAATAAGTAGTCACAAAAAACTGTATTCCAAATTAAAATAAAGCCAAGTTCTTCATTCGTCCCAAATTAAATTGCATGTTTACTATTACAAAGTCAAATTCGAAACAAAATTAATCAAACATCGTAAATCGAAACAGATAAATATAGTTAGGATGAAGGGAGTACAAGTTAACAATGAACAGAGTACTCCATCCTTCCTAAAATGTTTTACACTTTGTGCAAAACAAAGCAAAATTTTTAATTTTTTAAAATTTATTTTATTTAAAGATTGATATAGATATAAAAATAAAACTTATATACATTTAAAAATACATCAAAAGTTCTACAGAATAAGAGGTGACAAAAATATTTATTTTATCACATAGTCAATCAAAACGCACAAATAAACAAAAGTTTCTGTGATTTTTAAATAGTAAATAACATAATTCTCTTTAAAACAAAAGCGTATATGATGCTGAGTAATACAACAATGACCCAATTATATCCCAAAAAATAGCAACCGAGTATATGATAATAATGATTTTGATAGATTCCTAATATTTCCCCCTCAGACTATTGAGCAGTCCAAGATCCAAAGATCAGTATTCGGGTCTTGTAATCGTAAAAGAGTAAAAGTAGAGTAGTGTAAAATGGACAACACACAGTAATGTAACTTAAATCGGGGTCCTTTCCTCTAAATCATCTGTCTATGGATCAGAATGTTCTCTAGGACCGCCAAAATATTTTTTTATTACTCGAAGTATCTCTTTTTTCCCTTTCTTACAAGTTACCTTTCATGACCAAGTCTCTCTTTCTTTTATAGAGGACTTCCCTAACCACCACGTCATCGAGATATCTCTCGTGGTTGAGGGGAGATTCATGAAATCTTTCTTTCCATAAGCCTCCCTCTCTCACTCCAGGTTATCCGCTTTAAAACAAATTCGTCCATGGACAAATTTTCTCTATCACCTTTGTCTTAAACGATGACAATGAAATATTTTATCCATCTCTCAGGGAGGCGCATCCTAATTCTATAGGGATGGGCCGTGTACTTCCTTGGTGACCTGGCCCTCTATGGGCTGGAGCTCAACTCTTGATATAACCCAATCTTCCCAAGTCCTATCTGGTCCAATTCTTTAATTGGGCCGGGTGCAACTACTGTCTCACCCCGGGCCAGATCTTCTAAAGTTATGGACCCTATACTTACTATACTTGGGCCAGATCTTCTAAAGTTATGGACCCTAACTTGGGCCTCGTATATATTTTAGGCCCAACCCATCTTATAATGTCTTGAGGGGTCATGTTCATATCAGATTTAAAATCCATATCATACTCCCTCTTCATGTTTTCACCTCACAAAGCTTACACAATGTTAGGTTCAAAGAATTTAAAAAGAAAATGAGAGGAAAAATATTTTTTCTTTTTTATTTGAAAGAAGAGAGAAAATAAATGAAAAGGGTAAAAAGTACAAATAGGAGGAAAAACCAAATCTCTCCTATTTTGGTGAGAAAGTGAGAGAAAGTTATTTTTTTTCTTTTCCTTCCAAATTTCTTGAACCAAAAATAAAAAAAATTGAAAAATGAAAATTGTGAGAACACAATTTATTAACAATATAGTGTAGGAGTAATGTACTAAAATGCAAGGGCGCAAACATTTCTTTACACACAAAAAAATTATGCAATTTCTCAGCTTACATATCCATATCCATCCCTACAGAGCATATAATTGACTCAAACACACATTATACCGTAGTAAAACAAGTTTCTTTAAATACAAAATACTCACATATCCCTTTTGAATATATAAAGTAGGATTGGGAAGCGAAGGATAAGGGTCCTAAACACCCTAAGCTACTTACACTTTCCTTTAAAAAGTAGGAATGAGCTTCTTTTTCTCTCTTTGAAGAACAGAAGTAGCAGCACCATATACGGTCGTCTCAGAACATACGATGTATAGAATAGAGTACATAAAGCCTCAGAAATCCCAAAAACTCAATCCAAATCCATGCTGCTAGCCTTTTCTGCACTGGTGTCTTCCCCATTACCCATGGTGGTGGCTGGTGTTTCTTCCATGGGAGCTTCCCCGGCCCCACTGCTTCCCGCTAACCCTAGGTTTGGTTCAGGTTGAGGTTTGGAATCTACTTTTGGAAGGTCGCCATTTTCTTTGCCAGGTAGAGGAGTAGACAGGGGATTTGGCTCTCCAGTTTCTGGTTTAATAGTGTCGTGTGTGCCTTCGAGGGTGTCTGGGTTCTTGGGAGAAGTTTGTTGTTGTTGTTGTGAAGAAGAAGAAGAAGAAGAAAGTATTTGGTTCATCTCGGAGTTTATATTCTGAAACAGAGGAAGATTCTTTCTCATCCCGGCATTTGCTGTTTGGTTTGCTGCATATTCAGCTATCGAATCTTCGACGTTTTCGGAGAGAACCTTGCACATCTTTGTTGTATAGAAAAAAAATATATTAGTTCCTACAAAGTGAGTAGTAGTTTCCGAGTGCTGAGTAAAATGAAAAACAGACATGTTGATTAGTTATAGTAATACATTTAGTTAAACAAGAACAACAAACCCGGGAGGAGGGACCCTGCCCCCTACTCGGAAATTGAGAGACCGTTCCCAAAAGACCCCCCCCCCACGATCTCAAACAAAGACGCACAAACAAAGTAAACACATAGCAAAAACCAAGGAAACCCAGACTAGAAGCACAACATTTTTTAAACCAGTTCAACATTTTTTTAAAAATGAGACAAAGTCATGATTTATGACCCAAAAATAAAACGATGTGTTTTGGTCACTTTTCTTGGGAGGTGGGACAGAGCTAGTAATAATAGTAAATATCTAGTGCCTTGGTACAGATGTTTGCATATACTCTTAACAATACTTCAACCAGTGTCGACAAAAGATTTATTACCTCATTATAAAACTTAGCCATAGCCAAACGTTCTGGTTTGGTATCACAAGCAGCCTCCGACACTTCACGAGGAGCTGCAAAAGGCAAAGTGTTATGAGAGAAGAGAAAATTGCCACCAAAAAATAATAATACTAAACACTAGCAAAAATTCATAATCCAGTGCCTATATCATGTCAGCAGATACGCCGTGCTGCATATGTGCATACTTCAAATTAATGGGCTCAAGTTGAGAAGGTTCATCATTTATTTATAGCTTCAATTAAATAAGCTATTACCATATTGTCCAACTACAAATCTGCTACAGTGCATGAATAGGACAACAAATGCCAGTATAATCCAAACTCCATTGGGATATGGGGGTCAAGATGATGCAGCCTTACCCCTGTAAAAACAGAGAGGCGGATTCCATTACACCCTTGATGCATTGCCTCATTTACTTCCCAAAACTTCAGTGAGCAAAGGAAGTTTAATGTGCCATTTACAGGGAATAAATGAAATCCTAAAAAACTTGAAGAGGGACAAGGGTATACTTACAAATCCCAATAATCTTTGGCAAATGGTCAAAAACTTCATTATCAGAATCTGTATTTAGACTTGGCGCATCTACGACCTTAGAATCGAACTCTGTCTCATCACCAGGCAATTCACTTGACCTCTCATAACCCTGTAGAGAGAAAGAGAGAGGAATGAGCATGGACAAACAGATACCCTTGAGTAAACCACAGAGCTGAAAAGAGAACAAACTTATGCAGCCAACACAAACTGATCCAGTAAGGCTGAAAAATCTGAATGAGATCCTTGTTATGAGGTCTCCTGAAGGACACGAGTTGTTTGAAAATATATTCATTTTTATATGCTCATTGGTAAAAGAACACTAGACATATAATCATAACAAAGGAGTAGCAAATGCAGCATCGTGCAAAGATAGAATCAGTTTTTTTTGCAGAGAACTTAGGAGACATTGGAACAATAAAATAACACTCCCTACGTCCTGTAAAAGAGTTTAGGGTTTGACATGACACCATTATTAAAAACTAGAGCTGTGTGACTGAGATTTATGTGGGAAAAAATGAACCACACAAATTCTTCCCACAAAGTTTGTTAAAAACTAGAGCTGTGTAACTGAGATTTATGTGAGAAAAATGAACCACACAAATTCTTCCCACAAAGAAAGAGGAACTTTATTTTGGGACGAGAAAAAAAAGAGTTTTCTTGGGAGAGGGGGTAGGAGTTTCTTTTATATTAAGTGATGTTTCTCCATGAGTCGTGATAGATGCATAGCACATTCGTTCTTAAATAAGAGGTGAGAAAAAACAAAATGTGAACCCTCAAAGATCATTCATATACTCGTATAGAAGAAATAATAGAAACTCTACACCAGAAAAGGACACTAAAAATGTTTTAAGATAAGCGATTGTAAGTTGGAACTTACATAGGCTTCTTTAGCGTATTCTGCATTAAGAGCTTTCTCTAGTAGAAGCAACCTTTTCTTAATAAACTCAACCTGTCTTCTTTGAATTTCTCTAAAATGATATAAAAAAGAAGAATCTTGGAAAGTCTGTGTTCGGCTTGAAGGGTCATTTGTACCAGTACCACCAGCCTCAACCCCAAGATCATTTCCAGTAGTACATCTTTGTACTTGATTCATAGTACTTCCAGCATTTGCTTTAGTTTCACCATTTGATACTTGTGCTTGGGAAACACCTGCAATAGGAATTTGTGGTTGAGAGGCTCCAGGTGCAATAACTGGTTGTTGAGGAGTCCCTGGTACAGGCAAAGTCATAAAGGGGATATTTATCTCCTTGCAAATGAGTTCTTGGATATTCAACTCCTTGTCATCAACTATGGATTGCCATTTTCCATAACCATGCCTTCATGTGGAGCGAAAAATAGGAAACATAAAAATAAGCATTAATCCATAACTGGAAAGTATGATCAAACTTATGTTTGCAGCTTTGGCAAAGATATACAGACATAATAGCTGCCAGTAAATCAATGATGTTCCAGCAAATAGAATTTAGAGAAGAAATATTAGAATTATAATCGTCTGAGAATCCATGTTGTTAGTGGGGGCTGGGGCCCTGGGCATTCTTTATATGAACTACATGTTTTAGATCTGCAAAGCAAAATATAGAGTATATGATGTCCTGACAAAGAATCATGTGTAGCCATGTTGTGTAATATCTCTGTCCCATAAAATTCTTTACACTTTCTTTTTTTGCAAACAATTCTCTCTCCTCTAAACAAATTCTAACCACACTTTTTTACTTTTCAAAAACTTTCTTAAACTAGGTGGCGTCAAACTGTAAAATTTTACAGGACGGAGGGAGTAAGATAATCTACTTGTTTGGTTGAAGTTGTCAGGACAGTCATTAGAGTATTTAGAAGCATAACTTAGGTCCTAAGTATTCCTAAAAGACAATCTCTACATTAGCACTCACCCTTGTCTTTTCTTTTAAAATATTTCAAACTACACAATTTATGATATGAAGGTGATGGGAATATGTCAATATCATGAAATATTTTGCAGTAGAACATTACTTCAATACTGCTCGAAGTAGTAGTAAATCATGTTCTTCCTTCCACAGTCTTCCACCCCTGACTCCAGGAAAGCGAGATACTATGTCCTCTGTGAAAAGAGGACTTCCAGGCTTTTCAGATGCAGCTTTGACCTGAAAATCCACCAACAAGTTTGTTAGTCCCAGATTTAATATAAAATGTAAAATACAAATTTAAACTTTAGAACCATGGTCAGAATCACTTCTATTCATGCTTTAAATAGTACAATCACAATCGCACTAAAGGAATGTTTAAAGGAGGCAAGAAGTTGATCCATGGCTAATATCACCAAATAATGCACAAGCTAAAGCAAGAGAGCACAAAACCATCTCATCTGTAATACTCTGTATCATTCTAAAATGTGATTACTCATGTCAAGTGTCAAACACCTCAAAGAATAACAGAAATGAAAGTTATACGGACTGCAACATTTGGCTTGGTTGTCATGCTTCTAAAGTTTTGTTTAAGTCTTTGCAAAACATGGTACCTCCCCAATTCCAAAGGAAACACTTGTATCCTTCCAATGACACGTGTGGAAATGTCCTACACCAGAGCACTTCTATTATGCTTTTATACATTAACCTCTTATGTTTCCATTGTCGATGGAGCTAAAGGAGTCAATAATGGGAGTGTTCTTTGGCATATAAATATATAATGGACTAAAGTCAGAATGACGCTTTAAACTTCCTTTGCTTCTTACTTCCTACGAAGTTTTGGACAGTACATGCATCAATGCACCTACGGTCTAGAGGAAATAGTCTCTCTGTAAAACATGGGTAATCTGTATACATCTTGATCCCAGTGAACATAGACGGAGTTGGGATTATACTGGGTTGTTGTTGTTGATAGTTTCACCTCTTAATGATGAAGCAAATAGCACTACTGATGCTATAGTCCCNNATAGTCCCCCCCCCCCCACCCCACACACACACACACACACACACAAAAGAAGAATAAAACAGCATTTTTTTACTACGGTAAAAAAGCAAACATAGTGGGACCTTTATGCACCCAGCACGTGAGAACAAGGATTTTATTCCTTTTACTGGACTCAAGATTGTATATCAAAAAAATTACTCCCTCCGTCCCAGTTGAAACTTCTCGTTTTGACTTGGCACGGTTTTTAATATAAAGTGAAAAAAGTGTTGACTTTCCTTTTTTGCCCTTCCACCTACTACCTTCGTCTCCTTCGTCCATATGCTTCCTCAACCTCAATCCTGCCAGCTTTTTATCACCCCAAACATATACAGAGTAATTTTTCTTCAAAATTAAATTTAGAAAACAAAATGATATCACTGTCGAATTTCATTAAGTTCGAAAAATCAAAATCACAGATCCAAAAAATAGATCTAATTCATGGTGAAAGAGTAAACAAAGAATCAGATCTAAGAAACAGATATAATTCTCAAAAGCAACTCCATTAAGCAAATCTAGTCCTTGTTCAAACTTTCATGTCCAGAATTTATTTCCAAAGCAACCCCATTAACCCAAGAAGATGACTGCGATGAGAGAAGAACTTCAACTGCTAGTGACTACTTCTCTTCTCGATTTTCTAATTCTTTTTCCTTTTTCAGACCGTACCCCCTTATTCTTCTTCTTCACCCCTTATTATCTTCAAATTTTTTTAAAATCTAAAAAAATCAAAATTTAAGTTTTAGATCTATGAAACTGAAGAAATTAAAAATCAAATCTAGTTTTTAAATCTAGAGAATTGAAGGTATTGAAAATGAAGTTTGTGTTTCAAATCTAAGAAATGAAAGAAATTAAAAATCAAAAAGAAGAAAAAGAAGAATCGGAAGGGGGAGGGAGGAGGTCTGACGCAGATGCTGCAGAAGAAGAGAGAAGAAGAACAAAGACCATGAGACGCAGAAGAAGAACACAAAGTAAAAGAATAAAGGAGGGGGGGGGAGGTCTGAAGCCGATGCATGAGAAGAAGAACGAAGAAGAGAAAGGGGAGGAGATGCAGAAGAAGAATACAGAGTAAAAGAAGAATGGAGATGAAGGATGGTCTGGGTGAGTGGCACGAAGAGGAATAGGGGAATGAGGGAGAGAAATAATAAAAAAGGGTAAAAGAGTAACTTTAGGTATATTTTAATTCCATTTTAGGAAACGGGAAGAATCAAATGGGACAGCCCAAAAAGGAAAGTGGGAAGAAAGATATGGGACGGAGGGAGTATGTAGGTCCTGTGCAACACTCTTTTATCTAATCTTCATCAAAACTGACATTGAAACAAGCATGTGAGCTATCACAGTGACTTAAACTAGTTGAATTACTATTTTTTAAATGAGAACTTGGCATCCTCAGAAACGAAGGGAAGAGCCACCACGATATGAAGCGGTCATACCAAAGGGCTGAGCTCAAATGAGTCAATGTTTTATCTCCCATAAATGAAGACTTACTTTGTCCCTCACAAGCAGTAGTTCTGCAATCCTCACAAGTACATCTTGTATTCTCAATCCTTCTTTGGGAACACCATCTGCATGCAGTAAAATTTACAAGGTCAATTCGAAAACTAACAATTAAATAAAATGGTGCAAATAAAATTCAAACAAGAGATATTTCCAGATGACATAAATTATAACCTGAGAAGTTTGGAGAATCAGTAAGATCCTCAGCTATGTGTGACAAAAAGAGGCGTCCGTAACTGTTATTACGACACATCACAAGACTTGGTTAATGCATGTAATCATTGGCATCTTTAGTCAAACATAGAAAACTAGAAAATTAGTTGAATAAAGTTCTATATACTCAATTTAAGTAAACAGGCAGCACTGTGAGTGTGCCAGTAAGCCCCTAAATCCCGCTATTAAGGAATAACATAGCAAATAACTCATTATCCCAATAAAGTACCAACTACCAAGTAAATATATCACAGGCTTTTGAAGTGTACAAGTAGAATGCATAACATCAAAACATGTTTGAAACAAAAACAGCAGCACAGAACAACTGACGGAGGGCAAGAAAAAAGATGTACAAACAAATAGAATACAGCCCCAGGCTAAAAAGAAAGGAAGTAACGCATTCACAATTTTATAATAGTTCCAAATGATATAGCACATTCACAAGTTTTCGAAGGGTGGCACTATAAGCAAGCTTAAAACAGAAGTACTCAAATACTTTTTAATTTCTTCGTAAGTTTTCTGCTTAAGACGTGGTGTGAATTCTGCCCAGTCAAACTCTCCAACACCAAACCTGCAAAATATAGGAGAAATTTATACGCAACGCAATCATGCATAGAATGTGACTTTCAGATAAAATTGGATTTCATACATACAAGTACTAGAAATGAAGTAAACTACTACTATTTAAAGACTAAAAGCCTTTTAAGTCATACGGCACCTACTAGACCTACCCCACAATTCAATTTTCACCACTTCCTCTCAAGGTGGAGAACATAGTACATGTACTCCAAACTTGTTACAAATGTATCTTATTCTAGGTCCTCTTGAGGCTATATGTCCAACAACTATTTTCTCTTGGGTGAAAAGATGGTCAACTTCAATATGTTTTGTTCGTTCGTTCGTGGTCACTGGATGAGAAGCCATGTCTATAACTGCTTGATTGCCACCGTCTTAACTGTTTTGTAAGGCCATACTTTACATCTTAGAGATGTTTTAGTGACCTGATTTCACAGTGTTCTGCTTCAGCACTTGATCTTGCAACTACATCATGTTTCTTTCTTTTCATACAGATTAACTATTCACCAAATAAAATACAATAACCAACCCAATCTGCACCACAGTACCCCACAATGTTATTATGACCTCTGTATTTATAGAATTGCTTGCTCCGGAGAGCATTCAATATATCTTTAAGCCTGAATCACCCTGAATGGCCGAATCATAACATCCCGTATCCATCAAAAGGTTTGTCTAAGTAGCACACTTAGAGCGAAAGAGAAATCTGGTCTTGTAGCAATGAGGTAACTGAATCATTTGTATCGTACTTCATGTTCAAGACACGTGGTGTAGACCAACCTGGAGAGGCTATAAATTTCTAATAGGATGCATATTCATCATGTGTGATCAGTTATCACAACCAGAGAGGACAGAAAATGAGCAATATTGGACATTGAGCAATATTGACAGGTTCTGCGATGGATTGTCTTGGTTTTTTCAGTCCTAGTTTTGTGAGGCGAGAATGGTAGACTCGCCAATTGTTTTTTTCAATTGAAAGAGATGCTGTGTGAAGAATCCTGCCAAAAACATCACTCATAGATGGAAAGTGGTTAAGAGAGAATTTGTCAGTATGAGCGGGAAAACTGGACGCAAGCCAGCTAAGGCTAACACCTTAATTTATCTTGTGGTTGGGCTAAATGTTGCTACGTGCTTCCTTCAATAGGTTCAAAACTACGTATTGCAATCAAGTTGTAGAGCTTCAATTCGGCCAAGAGAGTCTTGGATATCCAAATCTCTCTGTTTCATATTGGCAGGTTTTGATCCAAATGAAAAGAAGATTTGGATATCACTTGTTTAGTCTTTCCCCAAAGTAATTTACGCATAAGATATTAAAGAAATTGATATAATGGAAGGAGTGTGGGATTAATGGAGTGCCACATGACATTACACAATAGGGCATCCATCTGATCTCACTCATCCTTTTTATCAGTGATAGTACAGGTTACAGGACACAGGCTGTGTTTGGTAGTTGGAACTACCGGCCAAACATTCAGTAGTAATGGCCATGACTATTGCACAAATGAATAAAGTGGAGGCCACTAGGACTGTTGAACTGAGGGGCATGATGATTGGAAAAAGAATCTGGTCTGGAGCAATCGCCAGGAGGCGGTGCATGCAGGTGGCGTGTGGTGCATGCAGCACCGTTGGATGAAGTCTGCACTGTTGAGAAGAATATTGCTTCGAAAGCAAACGAAATTCATTTTCCCCTTGTTGAGAGAATACTTTTCCTTAAAGAATATTTTCCCACCACTTATGTTACCAAAAGTTGGAAATTAGAATTTTAATTTTCCGGGAAAATACCCCCCCCCCCCCACCAACCAAACGCACCCTATAATACAATAGATATTCCACAGAATGAAAATGTAGCGTTCTGAAATAACATTGTTATTCCGTGTTGTAAGTGTGCA